AAGATCAACCGCTTGATCGACGCGAGTAGATTTGATCTTTTCGATTGCCAGTGTATATTCCTGGCGGGGTCCACACTTTCTCAGAAACTTTCAAAAACTAGCTGTTTGTTTTCTCCTTTGCTCACTACAGACTTCTCAAAGGAATCTCAGCCTCCTCCTAAATGTGAAGAGATACAGGACAAGGGTTAGCAGCTGCAGAGCCCTGTCCAGGGTGCTGACCCAGCACTAGGGCTCCAGGCCGCAGGCTTTTCCATTCACTCACTCAACAGGAAAGAAACAAAGACCTCCAAGCTCAGGGCCCGAGAGCTGCCTCCTGATTCTGCTAAATTTACCGAAAGGGAAACAACAAAACAAAGGAACTGCTAATGTAACCTGTACCATATTCCCCAGTCTCAACCTACGATTTTAGACTCCCAGGATCCCCTTTCTATTCTGATTTAAGCTTCTTTCACATAGATACATGCCGGCTGACAGATAATCCAAACGTGCATCTTTTGGGGAAACTTGGAATTCTATCCTCCTCGGCGGCACAATATGCAGACATTGTTGGGGACCCAAGTTAATCCATTAGATTCTTCTGCCTCCTCGCCATATACCCTTTTCTTACTAAAATAGATAGCAAGATGCAGCAAGCATCCCTTTTCTCTCAGAAACCAGTTGGACCACAGAGGCTTCCTTGGTGCCCTGAGCGGTGGCCCGCAGGGGGCGCGCGTGGCTTCCCGAGCAAGGTGAACTCAAATGGCGAGCACCAGGGATCTCAGGAGTTCAGCTCCCAAAAGAATGCCCAGGGTTCCATGCTTTAAGATAAAGAAAGTAGCATCCTAGGCTCGCTTAAAGATAAAGAAAGTAGCATCCTACTGTTGTTAGCACAGCCCAAGTGTCAGACGACGGGCCTGAATCTGGGCAGGCCTCGCTGGCTGACTCTAATCTCTCTGGCTGCTCCCCAGGCAGGAATCTGGGGCTGCACTCACTGCTGGCGCGAAAATTCACTACCTTTTAAACCGACTTCAGTGTTGGTCTTCATAGCTTCCTCACTGCATTAGCATCAAGATAGTCACACAATAGCCATCAATAAGGGATCAGGTCTTTTTGAGCCCCAGAAGCGAGGTTTCCTAGTAGCTCCAATCTTAATCAAATGTACATTCTTTGAGTCATTCCTTCTTTTCCTCACTAGGTTTTATACTCTCAAATGGGTACAACACAGAGGAAACTATGGTTCCCCAACCTTCCTAAGGGAACAACACTGACTATATCCTCACAGAGCCTTCCAGCTATTTAACCTTAGTGTTTAGCTGGGGGGCGGGGGGGGGGACGAGTCCCCCGCAGACTCTCTAGACACATCAGCATCATTAGGCAGGGGCTGGTCCAGGGACACCTCAGTCTCCGCCTTCCTGGACCACACCTGGAGGAGGCGAGGAGGCATCCCCGAGGGCGAAACCCTCTACACTCCCGCCTCAGCGAGGCTCAGATTTGGACAGGGCCAGGGGCGCCCACCAGGCCGCGCCCTGCCGGTCGGCCTTTTGTTCAAGCAGCGGCTGGTTGGGAGCAGCTGCGCTGCCCCAGAGTCGCCAAAGCTGAGCTACCGCCGAGAGCGAGGAAATCGGTCACTTGTCGCTCTGAAAGCTTTCCTGTTCTCTCCTTCCACACCCCTAGTTCTGGCCTCTCTCTACCCGGGAGCCTTTGGAGCTTGGTGAAGTGAAGCTTTCAGGGCCCAGCATCGCACTTCTGCACAGTAGGAAAGTGAGTTGAAATGTCACCTGCCGGGATAAACATTAACAAAAAGCAAATGGACTTGCGCAGGAGCCAGTTATCAATCAACGAGGCTGCAAGGCCATTCACAGCAAACACAGCCCAGGTTGAGCCCCGCGAGACTTTCTCAAGGCGGCCCGAGGCCCGACCACTCCCCCAGGTTAAAGTCCTTCCCCAGATCACGCTGCGGGAAAATCTCTGGCTAGCAAGGGGACCCACTTGCTCATCCCTTTGGAGACTTCGTAGTCAGCCCGAGGCGGAGTGGCCCCACTCCATCCTCGCCAACCCGTCTGCGCCCCCTCTGCCTGCACCTGCTTGCTGGGGGTGCGCTTCACCGCTAGGCCAGCGCTGGCAGCTCCTGCCTCGGCGCCACGCCGTCTGGAATCTTTAATTGGAAATTATTGTCGCTGGTCTTGATAAGCGTCCACGTCAGAGGAAGGGCCCCCACCCCACCCACAAGCCGCGCCAGGAGTCGGTCGCTTTAATAGGGCAGCAGCGAACGAGTATCACATTGAGGGAGAATATATCGATTTTTTTAAAGGTAGTTAATTCGGTGAGACTCTTCTGTGCTGTCTCACACCAGCTCACGTAATTTTGCGATGCAAAGGCGCCTCCCCAAACACAGCAACACGTGCGGGGTGGGGTACTGACCCAGGACGGTAGAAGGGTGTGGGCTGGGCCCTCACCCCGGTGGGGACAGATATGAGGTTCTGCGTGTGTGCGACCAGCAAAACGTGTCTGCGCGCACGGGATTTAGGGGAGGACCCGCCTCACAGCTAAGGAGCTGGGCACTGGGGCAAAGCTCCTGCGCTCTGGGCTTCGAGAAAGGATTCTGAAAACAGCCTTCTTTTAATGAAAAGTAGGAGAGGGTGACAAGTGGACCACTGTCCTTTAGTGACTTAAACATAGATGGGCGCTTTCATTGCCTGGAGGCCTTTATGGCACTTTCATGCATTCCACCCTTTTAATTAATTTATAGACAAGAAAACTAAAAAGATGGTGCTCCATCCGGGTCTTAAAACGCGGAGTCGGCTTGAGGTTTGGCCCCAAACTCAGGTTTTGCTGGAGTCTTCCATTTCCACGCCAGTGCTACATACCTGGGGCGGAGAGCTGGGGATGGCTCTTCCCGAGCTGCAGTGTGGGATGCTGGGCACGCCGGTGTCCCTTGGTGACCACTGTGCCTGAGCTGAGGCCTGGCTTCCACCCGCGCCCGCCTGTCCCGCGCCCGCGCCACCACCACGCGGACATCGGGTCCCCCGCGGGCGCAGCGGCGTCACCTCAGCTCCGCTCGCCACCCGTGGAACTAAGAGATCCCTCGGGCACAGAAGACCGCTAGGTCTGGCTTCTAGAGCTTCAAGGTCAGTTCTGAACAGGAGCTCTCCTTTCAAGGGACAAGAGATAGGACAGTGGAGGTGGGGTAGCCACTGAAGTTCCTCGGTAAGTTGGGGGGGGTGCGCAAGCGTCTTCCTTGGGGGCGTCCCTCTCCATCTCCTCCCCACTCGCTGACCAAGGCGGGCATGGCCACTTGAACAGAGCAGCAGCCAGGTCACCGCCAGACGACCTCGGGCGCCCGCAGAGGTGGAGCTGTAAGGGTGAGAGGCAGCTCCTTCCACCACCTCCAGGTGCCGACAGGGGTCTCGCTCAGCCCTGGGGGGCGATCTGGTGCCATACACAGAGCTAAAGAACACGTTTTCCCGCTCTCTCGAGTGGGAAAGCATGAGCCTCTCTAGGGCACCCCTAAGCCTCCACCCCAACTTTGCCCACCTCTCCCACTAGACTGGGGCGCAGCCTCTTGAAACCCGAGCGTGGACCTGATTTGGGGAGCAAGGGGTGGGGGAAGGGTGGACGCTGAGGCCCAGAGCGCCTAGCAACCCGGTGCGCCTGAGTCACACCCCGCCGGAGTCGCAGGCTCGCGGACACCTGCCTCCCCCCAGCTTCTCATTGGCAGGCACGAGGGGGGAGGGGGCTCTAGCCTCTCGCTTTGATTTTAGACTGAAACGGCTCAGTGCCCCCGGCTCCAAGCGGATTGACTGTCTTTCGTTCTCCTGGGACGAATTAATGGAGAACGATCAGTTAATTAACAAACCCTCATTCGGCTTTTACCTTTCGGTGCGCCGGGGCTCGAGTCCGGGCGCCAGGCTAAGGGAGGGGGTGGAGGGGCGAGGGGGAGGAGAGAACCGGGACTTTGGAGTCAATCAACTTGGCAACCTCGATTTGGCTCTCCTCAAATCCAGCAGGGCCTCAGCTGCCTTCCCGTGGTTTCCCCTAATTCTCCACTCCCCCCCCCCCTCCATCCAGTATCTGAATCTGCCAGAAATCTCTGCTGTGACTCCGGCTGGGCTCAGCAGTACCCTCTTATCTCGGTCCTTAGAATTTAGAGATGAGGGGTGCTCTCTGTACCTCATCTCAAAACCACTCGGTTTCAGGTCGGGGAAACCTCTATTCTCAGTCTGGCTCATTTACACGCTTTTACACCTGTGTGGGGTATCAGGCGAAAAAATCACACCGAAAAGAAAACGCAATGCAAAGGCCTAAGCCGAGTCTATGAAGGCAGTTCCTGGACCCTGCTGGTAGCGAGCGCTCCTATTCCTGGGTGAGTGCCAGCCCTCATCCTGACCTCGCACCACCTGCCTGCACTTCTTTCCATAGTCAGTTTCATGCGCAGAGTGCATGCTAACCCAAAATTGTCGCGCCAGCCACCCACTGCCAGTGAGCTCTGGACAGTTTTGCCTGCATTTAGGAATTGCTGTTCCCGCCAAGCTTGTCAGGTGCCAACCGTGAGCACGGGAGGTGGGAATCAGCGCAACGAGTCCAGGCAAATAGAGGCTGGCAGCCTTCGCCTCTAGCTTGCTCCAGCGCCGGGTTAGGTGCCAGGGGCACTGACTGGGAGCGTCCGCGCGCAGTTCCATGCACGCAGTCGCTTGCTTCCCTCCCCAAATCCGGAGTGCCTAAACCAGAGAGGTCGCAGCCCATCAAGTCAGGGGCTTCCCTTGCGCTCTGGCCTTACTAGTTTCTAGTGCTGTCACCATCACGAATACACCCCATAGTTGCCAAAGTGGGTCTCGGCTGGCTCAGCGCGCAGAGCCTTCCAAAGCTCAAAGCGCGAGTCCGAAACAAGGAAGTCTGTTTCCGGGAGCCGCTTGCCAGCTTTTCTGGGCTGCAGGACTCCCTTCTTCGGGAAAGAGGTGGTGGGATGAGGTTCTTTCTCCTTCCCTCCCGCCTTCAGTCCTCTCCCAGGCCCCCCTGCTCACCTGCTAAGCGGAGCGCGGACATGCGCTGGAACTCCGGCTCCTGCAGCCACTTCCACATCCTACGGAAGGTCTCCCGACCGGACTTGAGTTTGCTCCAGGGTTTGGGGTTGCGCAGCAGGTCCGAGAGAGTCCCCTGGGAGCGGCAGAGCACCCTTTGCGCGAAGATGGCCTGTGGGATGCTGTAGCGCTTGAGCTCGGTAGTGATACGCTGCGCTACCTCTTTGGTATTGATCTCTTCCATCTGCCCTGAATTACTTCCATTGCTGACCTGCGCGCCGGTCACCGATGAATTGGGCTCCCGGGTCGTGCCCAGGAGCTGCCCATGGCCCTGGGCGTTCAGGTGGGCGTGAGGATGATGTGGGGGAAGGCCATTGATGGGCACCATGCCGGCCGAGGTGGGCGTGAGGTGCTGCTCCCCGTGGCGGCCGAGCATGGCCGGGTGGTGGGCTTCGAATCCATTGGGGGTGAGCATCTTGTCGGTGGGCATGGTGGCGCCTGGGTGGGCGTAATGGGGGAGCCCTTGCTGGGAGTTATGGATGCCGCCCAGACCGGAGCCAGAAAGGGGCGAGAGGCTTTGGCCCATGCCAGTCACGTCCTTGTGGTAGGGGGTATAAAGGTTATTCATGGAGGCCAGCCCGCGCTCATCCCGCATGAGAGTGAAGCTACCGCTCACGTTGCCCGCCAGGCGTTGGTGGTGGTGCGGATGGTGGTGGTGATGGTGGTGGTGGTGATGATGGGGGAACTTGTCCGACACGGTGGAGATGGGCGGCAGCGGCTGCAGAGGGGTTAAGGTGGTGTAGGTGGTGGGCATGCTCATACCTGGGGGAGTCTCGCAGGCCATGGTCATGGTGGGGTGCAGGGGGCCGGCCAGGCTGTGCTCGGGAGCCCGGTGGTGGTGGTGGTAGTCGCCGCCGCCGCCGCCGTCCAGCAGCGACGCCATGCCCATGGAGCGCGGGTGTGCAGGGGGCAGGTGGCCGCCGCGGTGCGCCACGGAGCTACGCGCGTGGGGGCTGCCACCCAGCAGGTCGGCGGGGGCGGGCACCGGCTCATGGCTCACCCCGTGCAGCTCGCTGATCGCCTCCATGGTCAGCTGCGCGTTCATCGTGATCAGGGCGAGCGGGCGGCGGACACAACATCGATGTGGCCGGGCAGAGGCGGCCAGGGGCGCACGGAGTCCGGTCTTCACATCGGTTGCCAGCGACTGCTGCCTGCCTTCTTTGCTCTGTCTGTGGGGCTCTGTCTCGCTCTGTGTCTCGCCTTCCCTGTTACCCCCACTACCCCTTCTGCGTTCTCGGCTTCCTCGGCGTTTTTAAAATATTAATTTCCAAAAGGGATCCGCGCCGTTGGGCGAGCGCGGTGCCTCCAGCCCGCCCGCCCCCGGCCCCCTCTCGCCCCTCTCCTTAGGATCGTGAGGCGCCCGGCTCCCCTGACGCGGCCCGTGCGCCCGCCGCGGCTGCTGCCTGCCCGCGCCTCTCGCCAGCTCGAGCCATGGCTCGGTTACTGTTGCAGACTCTTTGGTGGCCGCGCCGCCGCCGCCGCCGCCGCCGCCGCCGCCGCGGCC